ACTGCATTTAGCAAGGATTCCATGATCAAATTCTTTCCATCATTAAAAAAAAAAGTCAACTTTCTTATTTGAAAAAAAAAAAAAAGAGTTGTAGAAAAATGGAGCTTTCTTGAAATGTGAAATATTTCATTGTAAAAAGTGAGAAAGAGGGATTGGGAGAGCAGTAATCCAACTTACAGATACTATTCTGAATTATTTCACCAGACCCGTTTAAAAAGGGATTAGCAGGGCTTTGGAAGCAAAGTCCTGTTTTATTCAATCTCTGATTTTATGTTATAAATACTGGTTGTAAAGGCTCTGGAATTAGTATGCAGGCACTGTCAGGAGACAATGCAGGTACTATTCTAAAGTTTCAGCTTTTTAATTAAGAGAAGAGGTAAGAAAATTGAATCATAGAAACACTTTTGTGAGAGCTGGGAACATAACAGAGACTGCATAAATAAATCCTTTTTACCTTCCCCTGACAGGTCAGCTACCAGGGCATTGATTTAGGACCTTTTCAGTGTCAGACAATAATAAATAGCTTTCTCACCTTGTTCCTACTGAACCTTTTCTTCTTGGACAGATCTTATGGAAATTTCCTTAAGTAGCTTGACTTGAACAAAAGATAGTGCATTTAGAATAGATACATATCCAAATTGAAATGCCTATTCTTAGGTCCCAAGCACAGATCTCTTGTTCTCTGTATCTCTTCTCCTGGATGGGGTTAGAGGGTGTCTGGAAGGCTCAAATAGTGTATGGAAAATGGTATCTGCCCTCAAATACCCACACAGAGGAAACAGAACCAAGGCCAAAGTGGACCTCCCTCTATCCTTGGGAAAACAAAACAGGGAACGTGTAGAGAAAGAGAGGCAGAGACAAGTAGTTCTGAATTTCTCTGAAATGGGCTCTTCTTGAAGCAAGAGATTTGGCCTGAACATGATGAATGGTTTTCTTGGCGACAAGGCAGCTCAAGTCAGTGGGTGTGGCACGGTTCTTTGTATGTTTCTTCAGCTCTCTAGGTACCCTCAAATAATCATCACCTGTGGGTAAAATTATTTCTGCCTAGGACACTTAAAGATAAATCCTCTAGCTCTTCCACATACTCTCCCACAAAAGTTATACTGGAACCACTCCAGCCTTGAGACACTAAATCATTGGG